AAGTCTTACTATGATAAAAATCGTGATGAAAAAGTTATAGCCTATGCTAGTCAAACCTTAACTCCTGTAGAGAAAAATTATTCAGTAACTGAAAAAGAATGTCTGGCCATTGTATAGGCCATAGGGCATTTTTGTCCTTACCTAAATAGAAATCGTTTTTATTGTATACCAATCATTCTGCTCTAAAGTCTCTTTTTGATATAAAATTACCTCAAAATCGACTTGCCTGATGGGTCATGACCCTCATGGAATATTCGTTTACCATCATGCATAAACCTGGAAAATGACATACTAATGCTGATAGCCTTTCTCAGATTTAGAAAATAAACTAATAAAAAAAAAAAAAAAAAAAAAATCTTTTACTATCCATCAAATCCATTAATCGAGTCCAGGTTGTAGTGTCCTGGCATATTTTCATAACTGTTAATAAAAAAAAAAAAAAATGAAAATAGAAACCTATAATCTCTATCTTAAGTACCTTGTGGGTGTGTTCAAGCCCTTAACCTATATCTCAAATCAAATAAGAAGCCTAAAGTTCAAAACTCAGTATTATATAATAGTTGAAGGACTCCTGTATAAAGTGAATCGACATGACCCTTCGTGCCCATTCAGAGTTTTAAAAAAGGGCAAAACTGAAGCAGTGCTCTTTAGCTTGCATGACGATCATCTGTCTGGACATTTTGGTTTCAATGCCACTTACCAATGCATAGCTGCTCGATATTATTGGTCTCAAATAGGAGAAGATATTAAACAATATATCTGTTCTTGTGATCTGTGTCAAAGAAAGAAAAAGCCCTGTACACATGAGCCCTTGTATCCGATTAAAATTAGGAGACCTTTTGATCATGTTGGAATTGACATTGTTAAACCCCTTTCTGTAACTTTTAAAAAAAGAGATATATAGTAGTGGCTACTGAATATCTTACTAAATGGCCCGAAGCCAGTGCATTAAAGAAAGCAGACACTGAAAGTGTCACTGAATTTCTTTTTAATAACATAATTTGTCAACACGGTAGCCCTAAAGAATTACTGTCAGATCAGGGCACTCATTTTTGGAACCATCTTGTCACTGCTTTAAGTAAAAGAATGAATTTTGTCTACTATACATTTACTGTCTACTATCCACAGACCAATGGATTGGTTGAGAGATTTAACTGAACCCTTTGTAGAGTATTGAATAAGTGTGTTAACCAGTTCAGCAGTAAGTGGGATGAGTGTATTAACGCAGCCTTGTTTGCATATTGAACAACAAAAAATAATACCATGTATTATGAGCCTTTTTTTCTATTATATAGAAGAAACACAATTCTTCTAATTGAGACTGATTTAGTGACAATCCAAATAAGGTCGGGGATTGAGGAAGAATTAGAAAAACAAATATTAAGGAGACTAGAAAAGATATATGGAGGATTGATAGAAACACAACAACATGCTAGAAGTAGAATAAAAAAATGCAGAAAAAACAAAAAGAACAATATGAAAGAGGAAATAAGATCAAGTCGTATGAAATCAGTGATCAAGTTTTTTTACATCAATCAGATTTAGCTACGTCATACAGCAGCAAATTGGAACCCCAAAATCTGGGCTCCTATTATATACATGAAGTAGTAGGTAAAGGACTCTATAAGTTATAGACAATGGATGGTCAGGTGATCAAAAAGAAGGCCTATAGAAACCAGTTGTCGCACTATCACCCACAACAAAAACATTGTGAGACCCCCTTGACATATGATTGGTGAAAATAAAAAGCCATGAATGTTCTTTTTTCTTTTTTTTCAAACATTTTTCTTCCTCCTTTCTTATATTCAGTATGCTAAATGAAATCCCAATCCAAATTCAAAAGACTTTAGCAACTCTAAAGACCCAAATAGAGAGGGCTGGTCTCAAAGAAGCTTATCTCATCTCTGATAATAGTGTGCTTTATTTTTCTGATTAACAAACTCAGGTGGTGGAAATTGAGATCCTCAAGCACCAAAGTAATGCTTAAAGGCTACACCAACAGCTACCTTTGTTTTTTGAAGATCTTCAATGTAACAGCACTATTAGTTATCCAATTTGGGTGCCCCCAGGTGCCGTGTGAACTGATAAAGTCACTCACATTTGTATCCAGCTTTCTGTTAGTAGCTTTCATCATACTACTCAATTGCCATATTACTATGCTCTTGGATCCCTATTAGAAGAAAAGGCATGGAGTAAAGAGGCAAAGGCTTTAGTTAAACAACTATTGCCCCAAAAATATAAGAATATTATAATCGTTGCCCAAAGAACCTACTTCCTGTATTGAATTCATGGCCCTTCTCATCTCTTTATTTCTCAATTCATAAACCTATACATCCTTTGATGGTTATTAAAAGATGATTTTGCTATATTACAAACTGAAGCCAAATCTTTAGCTCAACAAGAAATAGATGAAGTATTAGAATCGATAGATTTCGCAGGGGCCCAATCTTGAGGGAAGGCATATGTAACTAATTAAAATTAATTTCTTAGATTTTTATTTATCAGTAGATTTTCTGCATATCCCTGTTTAGTTGTAGTTCACTATCTATTTTGATAGCAATGCCCAATTTTGGACAATTTATTAATTTCTTTTGAATATTTATCAATTATACTAAAAAGGCAAGTATGGGTGGCTTAGTGGCTTGGCACATGTAAATCATAAAAACACTCAAATAATCACGAATACACGATTACACTAAAATGTAAATGCTGCGCTTTAAACGAATACATTCAAATCAAGGTATATTTACTCAAATCTGAGTATAAACATCCTGAATAAAAACATGTATTTAAGACCTCTAAGTTTAATAAAAAATGGACAGTTCCTTTGTCTATAATTAACTGCCAATAAAACAAATAAATAATAAAGTATCTACTTATCTGAATTTTCCCTTGTGAATAATTTCTTGAATCCATTTTGTAACATTAATAAACCTATGAGACTCGATTCAATGGACTGAATTGACTTGTAACTTCTATTTGGCTTATGAATCTAATGACCTAGAAGAATTAAATATTGTTATTCCTAACCTTTACAGAACCAATAATTGAGAATGCCTCTGTTAAACTACCACATAAATCTAAGAATATTATTACTTCTACTTGTTCATTGTCAGCTTTAATGCCATCACTTCTACTTAGACATCACTAAATCAATATCATGATCCTTAAGACCATCACTCTTAACAGCATCACCTATAGTCACATCATCCCTTAATCAATATCAAAGTACTGTATCATCTCGTTACAACCTACTGATAGTTTTCTAACCACTATAAGAGAGCTGTCTTGTCCCTCAACATTTTCCATTAGCTACCTGTATACTGTTAGGATTAAATTGACCTTGTTCTATACTATTTGACATCTGCTCTCCCTTTAACGGTTACACTACGATCACAACAAATTAGATTAGATCATCTTGATTATTAAAAATCTGGTGACTTTTGTCAGGGGAGTGTACAAACTCCATTCCTGGTATACTACATATTGAAGGCTTGTACTTTGAAGTTTTGAGACATCTGGCAAAAATCATTCAAATAATTTTTCGACCGATCTAGTTAAGTAGTAGTATTCGGTATAGACCAGGTAAAATTGTGCTCAAAAAAAGTTTCGAACATCACATGACTAATATATCGAGCACTAAAAATTTATGTAGCTTAACAAACAAAATTTAAAACTAACAAAATAATATCGATAAGCAATAAAGTCACATATGCCTTTGTATTTAACAAAATAGGAAGCCTTTACAATTTATGGAACCAGAACTATATAACTGTAAGCAAGGAAGGTGATCAAAAATATTATATACACATTGCATTAGGCAAATTAATCATTTTATTTATTTCTAATAACTCAATAAAAATGTGTTTTTAGATTAGTATATTTATTGGATTTTATGCTTTTAATAATTGTTTTTTACTTAAAATATTAAAGAAAAATACTTACTACAATTCTACAATTATGTTAATATTTAATAATCCTAATCATGATGATTTGACAATATCACATAATTTTTGAAACTTTTTTGGGTAGCAATTTTACTTTGATCTATATTATCATTATACTAAATACTGCACATAGGCAGAAGTTCATCTGATTGACTAATAAATTCAATTTAATTTTACATTATTTATACAGCTTAGAATGCTTTTTTAAAAAAACTGAGAACCAATCACAATAAAGTAAAAAAAAACATATAGAAGATTTCATTAGAGCCATAGAATTCTATAGTTAAAAATAAGATCACTTAAATATTGTTGCAGGTTTAATGGATGAGTTCAAAGATGGGGTAAATGTGACGAATTGTCACTATAAAAATGGTTATGCTGCATAACATTCTTCAAAGATAATAGAGGTGGTTTGATAATTTGGCACAAGGTCAAGGCAATTGTTTAAGGAGCATTACAAAATAAGTACTATGGTTTTTAAAGAGCATTATGGCATTGGTGGTTCAAAGGGTCCTTAATAACCTTATTAATATTTTGTAGGGGCAGTACAAGTATATTGTTAGGAGTTATTCTGAATTATATTGACTATACTGGACTTCTCTGAACTACTCTAAACTACTCTGAACTACTCTGAACTATCCTTTTGGGAGAGGTAAATTACACCCTTTTTTATAATGAATTGAATGAGAGAAAAGCCCACACAAGACCACGACTCTTCTCATTATTACTAACACTTTTCAACCTTATTTGTTATAACCTTTACCTCCTTTCACACAGTCTTTTGTTACTTTAACATTTCTCACAGCTTTGATGAAAAAATGGTTCAGTTACATAATTCTGAGGCCAGAACCCATCATATTGTCTTTAATCACACCCCCCTTGACATCACCTCACACCTAACCCAAGTAAGGCAGATGAAGTTAACATCTATTTCTGGCACAACAGGTTGGTCCAGGTTGACCTTACTTTAATTGGAGGGGTGGTTGGGTTCCACATGAAGGCTTATGTACTTTCATATAGCATCTCTTGAAGCCAGGCATACATGTTTCAGATGGATCATCATGGGCAACTCTAATTAAGTAAGTATGCCACAATGACGTCCATTTCGCAGGTTTTATGAGGTGTCAGTTTTACCTCTAACAATATATTATTGTTAATGTTACACTGCATCAAATTATTGTAATCAACTACTCCAAAATTGCCAACAAAATTACTAAATAATTTTTCAGTTACGAAAATAAGCCAAAAATTAATCTTGATTTAGTATAATGTTATGCAATCAGAAAAATTCAAAACAAGCCTTCATGTTGACAAAAATCACTTATAACTCAAAATCTGCATAGTATTACTATTGTAAATCAGGATAGCAGGTAACATAGTACAGTTTAGTTCCAATAGTCAACCTGATACTTAGTATAGTTATCTAATTATAATTAGGGAAATATTATCAGTAAGATTCTATCTATTATATTTAGTTAGATCAATAGTAGTTGGTTAGAAGGAGTAGTAGTTTAAGGATGTTCAAGAGTTATATAATTAAGAGTGACTTTTATCTTAAACATATTTTAAGAGTGATCTAAATAAAAGAGTCATAGTATAGAATTAATTTAATCACCAAGTAATTAAGTGTTATGTTTAATATTTCTAAAGATCATCCTGTATAAACGTATTACACTTGATAAACTATATAACTATATAATATACAGCTCCTATTCATTCAGAGAAAGGTCTATTAGCCTCAATGCTTACTTTCTTTATGTTAAATAAAAGACCCAGCATATAATTATATACAAAGTCAATTTAGTATAATGGAGTAATGATTACTTATTAAGTGAAGTTAAGGCAATTTAGTATTTGGGACATTTTTAAAGACGATTAATATAATGTATAGTGAGTTATTTATTAGAATTATTAGTAACATTTTTTGTAACCTCTTCTTTTGGAAAAGCAAAAAGAATCTATATTTATACAACACTATTCGTGAATGCTATACTAAGAAATTCTATGATAAAGATATTAATATCATTATGAGCAGTTATTTATTTCTTCATGAACAGTTGTTATCTCCAGCCTAAAATAACACAAAGACACACTGCTTATATTACTAATTTATAGCTTATTTGTTGCCTCAACTGCTTATTTTAATGTTTATGTATGTAGCTACCACATTCTTAAACGTAAACAAAGGCATAAGCAGGATGAATTACAAACAAATAACTATATATAGGTATAATGGAAATAATAAAAAGACAATATAAATAAATAAATAAGTAGGTAAAATAAGAAAACTCATGACTTGAAACAGAGTACTAATATACAATTTAACAATAGGAAACCATCTTTTGTGCTTTACCAAAAAGTTTTTTTTGAATGATTTTACTATTAAAACTACCTTAATATTAATTTTAAATCTATCCTAAACGGACTTAAAGAATTTTATAATATGTCATATGACTGAAAAATTTTGTTGGTGAAGACATTGTAATCATTATGGGCACATTATTAACTGGGCACATTATTAACTGGGCACAGATTCATTTATTGTGATTTTGCTTATGACAACATATAAGTATGCAAAATCTTGGATCTGATTGGATGATCAATTCTTGTAATTTTGTGTAGCTAAAAAAAGAAGCAATGGATCTTATTGGATGAGTATTTGAATCGATTATTGGATGTACAGAAATTCAAGAGTAGCTTTTTATCCATTTATATGATATGAAAATTGACATTTGAAAGTTCTTTACCAGTAATGATGTATATAGTTATACGGAGAGTAAAATGTTTTGTATAAATATGCAGGCTTGCAGTGATTTTATTTGGTTAACTATTTTATAAAAATTGCATCATCAAACATCTTTATTGTATAAAATTTAACTAAGTCATATTCATATTACTTATGCATAATAAGTTTCTTATTATTTTAATAAAACTATCTTGCATTGGATGATTTTTTAAGTAATCATTGATAATACAATAATTTGTTATAAAATTATCAATTGCTTTTAATCCAATTTATTGGCTATGAATTTGTTATGTTTGTGTACAGTTTCTGCAATAAAATAATCATTTCACTTACTTTAATTTGATAACTTATATAGTTTAATCTCTTGTTATTAAGAGCTATATTAAGAGGTCTATCAAAATGATATTTGAGTTAACATTATATTTTGATGTGGTTGGTTACTATTTATATTATTAATACAGTTATAATGCATACTGAATCTGTAATATAATGCTTACTCATTACAATAATAATTTGTCAACAAATGAAAAATCTGTGTTAGGTTTTGTTAATCATGATCTAAAAATTAATTTTTTATCTTTTTTTTTATTTTTATTTTTATTTTGTTATATTAAAGTAGAAACTTAATTAAGTAATAAGATAATTATGTTAAGGATTTCTAAACTACATTTGTGTTATTTATTTTAAGACACTCAATGTAACATTACATCTCTATTTCTATATAACACTATTATTAATTGTTTTAAATTAATTTTAAATATAGAAAGTTTGAAGAAAATCTAAAATAATAGTCTTGGCATTTAGTAAATATAGTTAGTAAATGAAAAGTCTAAGAATAATCAGTTTTTAATAGATATAGAGATATATTGGAAATATTAGATATTGATTAAGAGGTAGAAACTAAAGAATAAATTTTTGAATATTTGGATTTGTTAGTTATATTACAAGCTTTTTCTCATTATTGTTGAAGAATGTTATATAGTAGTCATATTTGTTGATAGAACCAATTAAGAAAAGTATATAATAAAATTGTAAGAAAAAATAGTGTTGTTTTATAAAGAAATATTTTAATATTATTATATAAAGATATAGAGTAGAAATCTTAAATAAGATTTAAAAAATAGTGTGTAGTAACCTAGTGAAGTGATTAGGTTGTCAATCTCCAAGTGGCAGGTCTAGAGTTCTAATCTCATAAATGACAAATTTTGAAAAATAGGTCTGTATTATGGTAACTATCTCTATTGATCAGTTAAATTAGTGTATCTGTAATCTTTAGTTGCACTATCTTGAATAAAAGCTCGAGGCATCTATGTTAAGTGTAATGTTATACCCACATAAAGGAATATATAACTAGTGTTGCATAAGACCTCATTGCAAACCCATAATAAAACCACTAGGCACAGAAAGAGAAGGAACTGAAGAGTCAAAAACCTACTTAGAAATCCTGAGTAAGAAGGTAGTGAAAAACTTTTGATGGTGCTGTCAGACTGATGAAAGTCTATGAAACACTCCTAAAGGGATAGGCAGATAAACTGAATAGTAAAATATATAAAGAAGCAGATAACCAACCAGGCTGCCAGAATTGTCGAAGGAAAAGAATACTAAGATATACTATA